TAAACAATCCTTCGTACATAATTTTAAATGCAATTCAAGAGTTAAAAATTCATGTACGACAATAAAAATCAGACCATTAAAATTGAATGTCAACATTAATTTTCATTTTTCATACCAATAAAAATAATTATATTTCTATCTCAAAAATCAGGGCAAATACATCAACATCCTTACTGAATTTGCAACTATAACTAAGTTAATCCAAATCACATCATCAAGAAGGTGTATTTTTAAACAAAACCAATAGCCATCTCTATAAAAACACAAAACTATCTAAAATTATTACAGGTGAGAGATGCCTCACCACAATTTGAGCAGCCTTTATTTGCTCTTAAATAACACAGCTACAGATGGCGGGACATATCTTTTGTCCGTGGATTTCACAACTTTATGCTTCAACATGTTTATTATAATTAGAATTATCTCTCCCTGTTCTTTTGACCCGTGGTCATAACTCATGTGAAACCTCAGTTTTACAATACATATTTTTAAATTGTTACAAAATGAAAAACGAGTCTCATAAAAAAGAAATTCAAACAAATCAGGAACTTCAAGGCAATCATGGTAATAGTTCATTTTAACAGATTCATTTTTTTTAACAATACAAACAAAAGTCTCACCTCCCAACTCATGGACCTGACAACTCACCTCCTCTTGAAAATCATAAACAAGTGCACCTTTTAGAGCTGGCAGCGCTCTCTTTAACACTTTCAACATTGGTTTCCAACTTAATGTTAGAGCACTCCTGGCTCTCAAAATCTGGACAACCTTCACTCACATTACATGTACATTTGAGCAGCCCTGGCTCACATTTACAGGTGATTCATTATCATTACAATTATCCGTAACAATATGAAAATTTGAGCAGCCCTGGCTCACATTTACAGGTGATTCATTATCATTACAGCTATCCGTAACAATATGAAAATCTGAGCAGCCCTGGCTCACATTTCCTATTGATTCATCATTAATACAGCTCTCTGCATTACTATAAAATTTTGAGCAACCCTTGCTCATAACAACTTGTGATACATTTTCATTGCAGATCTCTGCAGTAACATCAAAACCTGAGCACACCTGGCTCACATTATCAACTAATTCATTTTCATTACCGGTACATATCTTTGTAAAAATATCAACATTTGAGCAACCTTTGCTCACATTACACAGTGACTCATTTACATCACAATAATTATCAACAACAATTTTCTCTTCTTCCCCCACCTCCGGGATTACACTCACCTCATCAAACTCACAGAAAAAAGCACGCCCTTCAACTTCAGGACTTACATTATCTGATGGCTCACCATGAGATACAACAAAAATCATGTCCTCAGACATTAGAACAGGGTTCTCTTTGCTTTCGCGGGAGCCCGTTTCTATAACAACCAATTCATTACATGCTGTGGCGCTGGGACAATCCCCTACACACGTCCACCTAAGGTCATTTCCAATTACTTCCACCTTATTAAATTGTCGTCCCCTTTCATCTTTACACTGGACTTCCTGGGATACACCAACTATTTCAACCTCGTTTTGACATGAATATAAAGCTATATAGGTACCCTTTGCCACTGGGGTTATGTCAGCACGGTCAACGTTGTCCCTTTTAACGTCAGCTGACGGATCAATTAACAAATCACTGTCATTCCTATTTTAAAAAATTGAGTCGTCAGCAGAGGCAATAATATCATTTTGTTCCTCAGTATCTTTAGCCATGAACCGTGGTTGCGAGGCCGGCTCTTGCCTGGGGTCAGGATCATGAGTATGTCCACCGTTATCGACATAGTCGTTTTCACTTACATTAATAGAAACTCTATTACAATTTTTATAGGGATTCTCACAGTGAATGCTGGCAATGCCATAATAAATTTCTTCCCCTTGACTCTCGTCATCGTCACCGTCGCTATAATAATATGCCTGTCTCTTTAAAATAATTTCCCGTCGTTCTGCCACTAATTCCGCCAGTCTAATTTTTTCATCTAGTTTAGTTCAAATTGTCTCTCTCTCTGTTTATCTATACGTTCTTCCTCTCTCTGTCTATCTGCACGTTCTTTCTCTGTAGCTGCAAGTTCTTTCTCTCTAGCTCTAAGTTCTTCCTCCCTAGCTCTAAGTTCTTGTTCTTCAAACTTAACTCTTATATACTCCTCTAGGCTCTCTCCGGTATAACAAAGTAACACACCCACATGCCTAATTTCCTCTAAACTCCATTTCCTACTGACATATCCAGCCATATCAATGCAAATTAAGGGTGATCATACAGTAAACAATAATTAGGTTTAAGGACCAATCGCAGTCTGTTTAAACCAACTCTAGCAGAAAGCTAAATTCTACCCAGGTAAAAAAAATGTAAATACAAAATAAAATTAATGCCAAACATGTTTTAAACAATAAAAATCCAACTTGCCTGGTTCGTGAAATGTCCTATAGAATTTAAATTTATTCAAAACACACACTTGGCTTAATTAAGTGTCAATGGTTCTTTACTGTCAATAGTTCTCTCACAAACTTCAATTGTCCTATATGGCGATCTTGGGCAACAGTCATTGAGGTGTGGGTGACCGGGACGGGTTACGGGACATCGGCAGCTCACTGGACAGAACGTAGGCGAATCGCCGACACTGGACAGTTCGTGTGTAACTCGCCAATACAGGATCGGGCATGTGCAGCTTGATGCAGGACGGGACGTTGGTGGCTCGTTGAAACAGGACAGGGCGTTGTT